TTTCCCTGAATATGATGTTATGGTGCATCCCTGTAGAGGATGGTAAAGAGACAGCGGATCCGGATTCGCCTGAAAACAATCCTCAGTACACCACTGTTTATGTTGGCAATCTTGCTCCAGAGGTGAAATTCTTTTGGCTATATGCGCCTCTGTTCTTTGGATTGTTCGAGTTTGGTAGCTCTAGGCATCAATCTTTTTTGGCAGAGAATCACTCGTATATTCTTCTCTTTCCAGGTAACTCAGCTTGACCTTCACCGTCACTTCCATGCAGTTGGTGCTGGAGTCATAGAGGAGGTCCGTGTCCAAAGAGACAAGGGCTTTGGATTTGTGAGATACAGTACTCATGGCGAGGCCGCCCTCGCTATTCAAATGGGTAACACACATTCATACCTCGGTGGCAGGCAAATCAAGGTATACATACCACTTTTTACCTCGTCGGGCTTTTGATTCTATGATCCAGGTGTTAATTTAAAAAAAAAAAACGTGTACAGTGTTCGTGGGGAAGCAAGCCCACCCCTCCAGGAACAGCCTCAAACCCGCTTCCACCGCCGGCTCCAGGTCCAGCACCAATGGCGGGATTCTCGGCAAGTGACCTGTTGGCATACGAGAGGCAGCTGGTGATGAGCAAGATGGGGGGAATGAGCCCGCTGGGACAACATGCCCTGAAGCAGGCTGCCGCCGCTATGGGACCCAGTGGTTCGAGCCACCAGGTCCAGGCCCTTTACGACAGCGGGTTCCAGAACGTTGCGGCTGCTCAGCAGCTGATGTACTACCAGTAATGTAACGATCTCTCGCCATAGACCGAGTGAGTCATATTACTACATTTAGAGAAGCTTTTCTAATGTAAGCGTTTCTTTTTTCTGCTCTATAATTCGTGTGTTCGTCTGTTTCCCTCTGATGATTTGCCTTGTGTGCCCATCTTCATAATACTCGTTTTTCTTTTAATTTTTCGTTATGAGTTGTAAAACCTCCCCTTGTGCTTTTGTTTTTTTCTCTCTTTTTAATGTATATCATATTTGGTGCTGTTTAGGTGCATTGCTTAATTCGTATTGCATCTATTTGCTTTTCTGTACTAATTTGGTCACATGTGATGCATTTTTTTTATTAACATATGTTTGTTATTTAATGTGTAGATCGCGAAAATATTTTGTAAGATTATGAATTTTAAGATTTTATGTTGGTTTGTTTGTTATTTATTTATAATTTATTAAATTTAGATGATATAATTGTTTGCTTTGTATCGTATTTAAGTTAAAATCTATTTTTTAATGTCAAAATGTAATTTTTTTTATCTCTTTTAAAATCATAGACCAATTTTGTTTGGTTAGAGAACCCAATAAATTAGTATAGACCCAAGCATTTCATGAGGATTAGTTTGATTGATCCCAAACGACCTTTCTTAAACCGCAGAGGTTTATGAACTGTTAGTAGTAACTAGGCATTCTTTTAAAGCAAAAAAATGATGAAGAAACCAATGGTTGACCGTTGACTTGTCTGGAAACCACTGATTCTGTCTGCAAATCGAATCGATAACCGGAAAGCCGAATCTAAACCGGATGGAGACATCTCCTTTTAATATATATTTTTTTTTATTAATTTAATGAATCAACTTTCCAGGTGTGCAATGAAGTGGCAACGAAAGATCTTTCTCCCTCTCGTAGGTTACACCATGAACTGATTTTTTTTTTTTGGCAGCTGGGAAGAACCCTAACCAGATCTTCCTCCCTCTTCCATTTTCCTGTTCTAGAGCACAGGTGATTTTTGCTGAATCCTTAGGGTTTTTCCCTTGCTTTGTCGTGAGCCTCCCCTCTTGATCATTGGTCGGAGCGCATTTGGAGGTTTTTGATGAGCTTCTCCAGGAAGAGCCCATAAGGTTTCAACACAAGTGAAGAAAACTAGCGGATTTCCCTGTGAAATTCTGCTTGGCTTTTCTTCAATTTCGGGGTTCTCCTCAGTTTGTGTTGTTTTCCCAGGACCCAGTACTTGACCTCCAGGGAAATATCCATGGGGGTCTCGTTTAAGATTTCTAAGGTTGGCAGAAGGTTCCAACCGACGCCTGCCCTTGAATCGACAGGCCCTGCTGATGACACTCCGGAGCAGTTGAAGGAGAGCTTGCATGCGCCGAAAATCGAGGTATTTGATCGAGGATTATGCCAAAATTGACGCATTGGTGGCTGGGTTCGGGGCTGAACTTATGCGCGAGTTTATCGTTGAAGAAATTTTAGTTCTGGAAGTTGGAATTCTCCTAGACTCGAACTAAGTATTTATTTTGCTGAATTGCTGCAAGCTATCATCGGAGGAAGAAAAGAGATTAGCGTGAAATGATTGGCGACTTTCTTTAGCTCCGGTAATCTTTCCTTGATAGAAGATTTTTAGAAGTTCATTGGTTTGGATATAGATCTGCTGGGAAATCGCAAGGGAATTTAGATACAGTCATGTGCGTGCTTGCTTGTTTCCTTTGTGGGCATTTTACTCAAATGATCCTTACTTCATTGCGACATCATAATTAATTATAAATACAGTTGTGATTGATTCTAAATGGGTGGCAAAAAATTCAATCTCTTATTTTAGTCGTATACTAGTTTTATGTTAGTCGCAAAAATGTGAGAGAAAGGATCTTTCGGTCTTTTTTATCGAAAAGCGGTGTATAAATTGTTAAAAAAAATATTTTTTTTGGTGGTGTACCGGTGAAATTTATGCCACCCAAGTGGGTCATTTGAGTAAAATGCCCGTTTCCTTTTTACAGTCTTGAAAACGGATGAGGGTTGGAGAGGGATATGCTGAATTATTTGTTTTTGTTTCTCTTCTTGTCTCTCGAAATGCTTAAATACCGATTACCGTATCATTCTGTTTTGATCCAGGCCGCTGTTAAAAGCCATGCTGTTTGTGTTTCTGGATTCTCTAAGCCATCCACAACAGATGTGTCTCCAGGTTATCATTAGAATGACTCTTTGCTGATATTTTCACAATTCTGAATTTCTGAGCTTAATATTCAATCGAGTGCACTCATTTTACTTTTCAACAGAGCATGGAGTGTCTTCCATATTAAGCATATACTCAAATGGATACTCAATAGGAAAACCATCTGAGGTATGTCGTAGAACCTTGCTAAATCAAGTGGAGTTTACTCACCGACTATTGCTTTCAATCCTTACAATCCTGCCGTTCTTAATGTTCAGAATGATGCTGCACAACAGGCATCCTTTGGAGATGCTCGGAAGGTTCTACATCCATATGATAGGGCATCAGAGAATCCATTTTCGGTAAATTTCTTTTATTTTTCCTCTCTGTTTTGCTTCTCTCATGAGAAAAAAAATTCCTATTTGGTTGTCCATACAAATCATGTAAATTGGTATTTGGTGAATGAATATATGAAAAATTGCAAAATAAGTTCTTTTCTCATATTCATTAGAGGAGGAAAATACTTTTTTTTTGCCTGTTAGAGATGCTTTCTTTTGATCCAATATTGTTTTTGAGAAGTACACTACGATGTCTGTTTACCTTCATGACTTTCCTTCGAGTTGGTTTTTTATCATGGTAGAAAGATTCATCTGTTGGAGAAGGTCCAGGTTTTCACTTATAAATTCTAATACTTTCTCCTTGTCGCATGTTTCTTTCCATTAATATCTTTCTAGTTTTTATTCCACTGAGAAAGTATTCATATTTCTTCTGAATGCTTCAAAGGCCATCGAGTCTGGTAGACTTCCTGCGGATTTTTTGGAAGATATACCATGCAAATTTGTGGATGGAACAGTCATATGTGAGGTGAGTTATCTACTGTAATTTTTATTTGAACAAAACCTTCAATGTCAGCCATCTAGTCCGTGGTAAGTTTCAGCAGAGTTCAAAAACATGGAAAGAACAGCTCTGAAGCTACGAGTATTACTTATCACCTTAACGGTTTTGGTTTCTCATTCTAGTTCCTCTATTGCCTTCCATGAGTAGCTGCAAGCAGTTAGCACTAATGGAAATATTTAGAACGATAACTAAAATTTCCTTCAACAGAGATATACTCCAAACTGAATAAGATTAAAAAGGAGAAGCACTTCATTCTTAACTAGTAATAGGGCACACACTATTTGATTTGTTATTAGTGACTGATCGCCTTTATGGTAACCTTATGAAAAATCAGAAATTATCTACACACCAGAGTAAGTAGCAACAGAGGAGAGTTAAAGTAGATTGTGGTTGTATGCTTCTATCTACTGCTTAAGCATTGTCTTACATAACATTACATTTTCTTCACATATTGGTAAATAACCTGCAAGTGCAGGTGCATGACTATCGGAATCATGCCCCTGAGCAAGTCTCTCCTGTGATATTAAAAGTACGCCTTAAGATGTCTCTTGAGAACGTGGTGAAAGATCCACTAATATCAGGCAACTCATGGACATATGGTGATCACATGGTAATTTCAGTTGTTCTCAAACTCTTGGCTGAAGTCTCCGAGTGCTGAAAATCTTTGTACTGATCCTTGCATTCTTGAAGGAAGTGGAGTCCAGAATATTGCAAGCCCTACAACCTGATCTCTGCCTGGATCCTACACCAAGACTTGATAGGCTGTGTAAAAACCCTGTCTCCGTTAAGGTAAATCTCTTTGAATGCTTCCTGTGATTTTCTTCTTGGTTGCTTTATGTCTAAGTTGATCCAGAAATTTGTCTGCAGCTCAATCTGTCTCTGTCTGGTTTGCGGAGAAAGAGACTGAGGGAAATGCCACAAATGACAGTCATGCCCCAGAACAATATCCATGGGAAGATTGATTGCATAGATAGGATACCTGAAAGTTCGGAGCACGGAACTGTGTCAGGAGATTTAATACCTCGACAAGGCCAAAACAATCTGGTGGCCCAAAATCTGGGCGCAAATATGTTGGTGGGATTGAGATCTCAAACTTTACAAGATGCCTCAAAGCCTTTAATACCTTTGGTATCTCAGCAACAAAGATATCTGGGAACTGGAATTGTAAGACACATGCAGGATCAGGGGTCCAATTCTATTGGGGTCTCTGGAGCATCACCAGTAGGTCAAGATGTGATGATCCCTTATACCTCTGAAAATATTAACCCTGGTTCTTCTCTCCTTGGAAAGAGAGAAAATCAAGAGGGACCAATGTCCCCTATGTCTGGTTTCAATAAGCAAGCAAGGGTTTTACCAGTAGGAACCGATGGGGTTCCACAAGCACAGTTAGGCCAATGCATGGATAGCTTTCATGGAACAGATATGAATTGGAAAAATGCTCTTTTGCAACAGCAAGCTATGATGGGAAGATGTATTCAGTATTCAAATGCTAGGTTTCCGCCTCAGCAACTTGAAGGGGTTATGAATCAGGAAGGTGGCCCCATGCAGTTTCCAGCGGCACAGCTAGGTGCAATGCGGTTCAAAGCTAAAGAGGAGCCATTTGAGACTAGTAAATTTGATGGTGCCATGAAAAACGATATGCCGATGGCAGGAGCTGACACTAACGAGTTGGATCCACGGTCGAGGTTGCCGCATAATGCTTTTATGAGATCTAATTTCCCTCAAGCAACCTGGAATAACATTGGCCATCAGATTGAAAATGACCCGAGAAAAGGAGAACAGTTCAATAGAAGAAAATCGGCTCAAAGTCCTCATTTATCAGCTGGTGCTCCTCCACAGTCTCCACTTTCATCAAAGTCTGGTGAGTTTTCTAGTGGCTCCATGGGAACCCACTTTGGAGCAGTTGCAGCCGCTCAGAAGGATAAGGCAGCTGTCACCTCCATTCCTGCCATGGGGAGCACCCAGTCATTCACATCTAGTGCGAACAATGACCCAATGCAACAACGGCAACACCAGGCTCCGATGATTACAAAACGGAAGACAAATTCTCTTTCTAAGACACAAGTTATGAGCAGTGTTGGTTCTCCTGTCAGTATCGATAATATGAATGTTCCGCTTAATGCAAATAGCCCTTCGATGGGAACCCAGCCTTTGGCTGATCAAGCAATGCTTGACAGATTCTCAAAGATTAAACGAGTTGCTATGAGGTATGGAAGCTTTTAAACCTGTCAAAGTTGGGTCAATGATCCTGCGAATGATAGTATGCTTTTGCTGTTGATGCTTCTCACATGTTACTTGCTTCCCGTGAAATAGATTGTAGCTGTACCTGACCAATAAGTTATAATTCTCCTATTTCCAGTTTCTAGTTTTACTATGGAACTTGGATGGTTTTCCCATAAATTTTGTGTGATGCTCTTTTTGATCCAGAATTTTTCTTTCTATTCTCAGGTACCAACTTAATTGCAAAAAACATAAGGTGGATGAGCTCTCCCGGAGACCTCGTTCATACTCTCAGCAGCCTCTCAATGGTTGTTTTTCAACATTATCCAATAGCGATGACTACAAAGACGAGGTCAAACCATTATCAAGATCAATTATAGGTGGCAGTATGAATAATTGCAAGACAAGAGTCCTCAATTTTGTTTTGGTGGAACGTATAATGCAAGGTCTGCCTTTTTGTTCTAAACAGATTCCTGGACATTGATATGCCTTACGAACTTTTTCTCGTTCAATTTACTCCTATAATATCTTTCAGATACTGCATCATCCTTAGTCCCTAGAATAAGAACAAGACTGGTAATGTCAGAGAAGCTGGATGGAAATGTAGCATGGCATCTTGGAGATATAGATGATGGAGATATTTTTGCAGTGGAAGATTATCTCTCCACATTGCCCAATACGGTTAGTTTGTGGAAACTTTTTCAGTTGCTGAACTGCACCTTTGGCTTTTATACTGATCAGAATTCAGTTTGTTGCTATCCATTTTTATTTCTCATCTCCAAAATATATCTTCAATTTTGTGATGCTGCCTTTTCAATTTTGCCTATCTTTACTGGCTCTGAAGTCAAATAGATGATATAGTTTTGACGTTTTCCATTATATTGGGGTCACTAGACTGTAATCTGACTGTTGCCACTTTTTGTCAGAAATATAACATTATAACCTAATAAAATGTTGGATAATCCTAACGGGGCCACACAGTTCCAGTCACTGTTGTGAATATTTTGCTTAATTGTAATATCATCGAGGTTCTGCTCAACTCAAAGAAGGAAGAGTCAAATCCATTGATTCTTTATGGATGTCATTTCTCCTGTTAGTTTCTCCCACTTGCCTCTCCTACTGACTTGACAATGTAGCTTGTGCTAATGTGTTATGCTGACTTGCTTATTTGTCTTCACTTTTGTAATAGCAAGTTGCTGATCTACTCGCTGCTGAATTCCGTTCACTGGTATGTCTTAGTTTTGTTATTGAGGCAAAAAATGATGATATCAATTCTGTGTTCTTATCGACATACTATGTACGAGGTGTTTTACATGCTTATGCAGATGATACGTGAAGGATACATCATGGAAGAACATATTCAAGTGAAGTCAAATCGTGTGGATGTTGTTCCCAGTAGCAGCCAACAGAATTCTGCCAGTGCATTTCCTAGAGGTAACTCAGCAAATGAGATGCAACAGTATGGAGAAGCAACTGGTTAGGTTGGGAAACCGGGGAATACTGATAATGCCCCTATTAACGCAACACAGAACATACTTGGAAATGCAAGGATGCTTCCTCCGGCAAATTCTCAAGCCTTGCAAATGTCTCAAGGGCTATTGTCCGGTGTCTATGTGCCTCTCCGGACACAGCAGCCTGATGCACTTCCGGCATCACAACCGCAGCAGCAAAATCAACAGTCCATGTTTCAGCAGCAGCAGAGACCGTCCATAATGATGCTGACAAATCCATTATCGCCTGTTAACTCAATGGGCCAGAGCTCTGGTATTCAACCGACTGGTCAGATGGGCAATAAGCCTTCACCTCTCCAATTGCGGATGCTACAGCAGCAGCAGCAGTCGCAGCATGCCCAAATGCAGAGGAAGATACTGATGGGGCTAGGATCTGGTGTAGGTATGGGTAACAGTATAGCCTCCGGGCTTGGGCATATGGATAATCCGATGGGTATGGCAGGAATGGGTATTGGAGGGACTGGAATCTCGTCACCTATGCCGTCTGTTTCTGGCATCGAGAATATGGGTCAGAACCCGCTGACTATAAACCCTGCATCAAACTTGAATGCAATAAGCCAGCAGCTGCGCTCTGGCGCACTAACACCAGCACAAGCAGCTATGATGGCGAAACTCAGGATGGGAATGACGAACCGAGGAGGCATAAATGGAATTCCTGGTGCCAGACAGATGCACCTTGGTCCTTCGGGTCTTTCGATGTTGGGTCAGAACCCCTTGAACCAAGCTAATATGAGCCCCATGCAACGAGCTGCAATGGGTGTTATGGGCCCACCAAAGTTGATGCCTGGAATGAATCTCTGCATGAACCAACAGCAACTGCAGCAGCAGCATCCCCAGCAACAGTTACAGCAACAGCAACAATTGCAGCAGCATTCTCAGCAGCAGCTACAGCAGTCGATGTCTCAGCCGCCACAGCAGCTATCCCAGCCACATAGTCATCTACAGCAACAGCAGCAGCAGCTACAGAAACCGCAAGCTCAACAGATGCTGCAGCAGCAACTTTCACAACCACAGCTGCAACAGCAGCTTCCACAACCACAACAACAACAGTAGCAGCAGCAGCAAGACATGGCCTCGCCCCTCCAGTCTGTGCTTTCGTCATCCCAAGTAGGTTCACCATCACCTGGAATTCCGCAGTTTACACAAACCCAACAGCAACAGCTGCAACAGCCAAGCCCCCAAACAATGAACCAAAGAACTCCTATAAGTCCTCAGATAAGCTCTGGGAGTATGCATCCAGCAAGTCCACAGCTAAGTTCTCAGACACTTGGCTCTGTTGGTAGCATTACCAATTCTCCAATGGAGCTTCATGGTTCCAAATACAACTCTGCTGCTAATTCCTAATGTCTTGGCTGCCATCTCTATTTGTCAGAACTTAGAAGCAGAAAATAGGCTCGAATCTCATCTCACAGGTAAAGTAGTGTAAATGATGGTTTTGAAGTTGTTAGGGTTTAGGTTTCCTTGTAGATGTCAATTTCACATTTCATTTCATTGGAAATTTACAAGGCAGGAAATAAGCTCTGTTCTAAGATGCCAAATGTAATTTAAAAAAAAGCTACAAAGTAATTCAACAATGACAGCATTTGTAATGCATATTATGCTCGGTTTATAGTGCCTTTGAAGAGGGTATCTCATACAGATTTTATGCGGCATTATCTTTTCATATTATTTTTTAATGTAAAATCAGTCACTAAGACATGCTATAAAAGAAAAGTGTTACAAAATAGGCAAAGGTATTGAAATGAGTAAAGTAAGCCACAATATGTCATTACACGGATGATAACCAAAGTCTATATGGTAACAGACACACATACCCACAGAAGAAATATATCTCGATCTCCTGAAGAAAAATGTACGATAATAACAAGCACGAGATCTCGAACAGATGAATGTGTTCTCTAAAAGCTTCTTGAAGGAGACATCCCTCAAGAATCTCTATCTTTTAATCTGTATATAGATAGCATCCTTAACCACCATTCTGATATGTCCGATTTCAACAATGCAACCAACCCTACAAGGGTTTTGGCTCTTTCATCTCGGCTTCATGTCGTTTCCTTTGTTACGGAACGTGGAAAGCGAGAAAAACGATGCTCTTGGTGCTGTATAAAGGAAATCAAGAAACGAATGAGAAAATTCAGATTCAGAAAGAGAACATGTCTGTGGGAACACAAGGAAAGTTTAAGGTTGTCACCTTTGTTAGAGCTTCCAGAGATCTGGTGATCCTCCTTCAGTTTAAAGCTCGAGGGAGGAGCATGAATGGAACTATTTGAAGCTTTGAACAAAGGACAAGAACAACAACTATCTCAGTGTTCAGGATGATATCAATGTACATATAATGGGCATATGCGAGAGATGCTTTTCTTATCTTCCTCTAATTCAGACAAGAGAACAGAAACCAAAAAGCTAGTAGTCAGCAATGTGTCTGGTGATGAGAAATAAGATTCAAAGGCTGACCCTTTTGTCTAGAGTGATCTAAAGAGATAGATTTCTTACCTTGGTCACTGAATTCACTCTCGTGGAATCCATCTTCAGAAAGGTGACTTTGTAAAGACCCCATTCTTGATTTCCTCAAATCATCCGATGACCGATTTGCGAGATCTCGTCTATCTTCAGCATCATCATCTCCTTCAGATGTTGTTACCGATACCCAGTCCACGAAACTTTCTGCAGCACGGCCTTTTCTTCCAAATTTTAGCAATCGTTTGAACCCTTTGGTTAAATCCTTCCGGGACTGAAGCTGAGATGAATTAGCAATCATAGCAGGATTCTGAGCAGCTCCCCATTTCTTTCTCATTCGAGAACTCCAAGATGCAGGACTTCCGATGGGAGAATCCATGGAAGCATCGATGTCTGAATGCTCATTCGGATAGCCAAATGGGTGTTGCATGTTTGAATTCCATGAAAGAGGGCTTTCCCCTGGTGAGTCCAGTAACGAGGCAACAGTATGAAACGTTGAAGACACGGTAGCAGGCAAGTCAGTCATTGAACTGGAGTCGATCTGAGAATTAGATCTTAAGGGAGTAGTATCTCCAGTCCTGGTATTATCAACTTGATCATATTCCTCGCTCATTCTCGGCTTTTCGTCATCATCCTCAACCTCCACCATTTCCAGTTCTTCTGGTTCCTCTTCTTTCGGGACTTCAACCTCAGAATCAAGTTCATCATATCCTTCATTTTTCAAGTTTTCAGATGTATCTGTGGCCTTTACCTCTTGTATAAAACCAGCAACATGATCAACATCAATGACATTTCTCTGATTCTTCTCTGTGTCAACTCTTGCAGGGGCCAGCACATCATCAGAGTACAGAGTGGACAATTCTGTGAATTCAATATTCCCAGAGGAGCTTTTCCTTAACGATCTACGGAGCTTTTCTTGCTTAACAGGACCAGTGTTTCTTCCCTGAGTACGGGTAGTAGTTTTGGCAACCAAAGAAGATGGCTTCGTGTTTTCCTTTTTAAGGTCAGAAAAGTTGGGAACAGATTGAGCAAGCGGCTTTTCAGATCTTCGCCTCCCGGAATTGGTATTTGAAACTTTAGCTGATGGCTTTGGAATTGATGTGGTGGTGGTTCGGGGGTTAACAGAAGATACATTTCGGTTAGGCTGAAGCTTTTTAGCTTGGAAGCTTCTAGAGGTTGCATTGTTGCCAATGGCTTGTCCATTGGATGTCTTATCTTTCACCCGAGGTTTCTGATCTGAATATTCGGAGAAATCTTCATCTTCTTCGCTCTGAAATGAGCTTATTGGATGCTGTGAGAAGACAGAATAATCAAATTAGCCACAGAAGGTAAACAAGGTAACTCCCATGGTTAGGAAACTGAAGAGATAGCTGAACTATTCATAGAATATATCATCACAAGACCTAGTACTAGGAAAACGAATTTTATGAAGATACCTGATACTTTTTCATACTTGCCCTTGAGTTAAAAGATCTGAATTTCTCAGCACGATGGCGAGTACTTGAAAGGGAATTCTGCTTATCAGAGAAACCAGAAAACTTAGCCTTCATCTCGCTCTTACTTTGCTCGAGGGCTTCTTGCATGGACTTCAACTTAGTTTCCTTCTCAGCCCTATTCGAACTCCATTCTTCTCTCAGTTTTGCATCTCTTTTCTGCATATATTTCTCATAAAATTTTCCTCTAGAATCATCTGAAAAACTGAGGTCTGAAAAGTTCCGCCTCAGCAAATCCCCATTGTCACCAACCACCTTCCCCGTAGAGGGAGTGATAAGCTTTGAGAAATCACCAGAACCCCCGCCCGGATACATAGTATGGCTTCTTTTGTCTGGGAATGATCGAGGAGGTGCTTCTGATACAGCAAACCCAGAGGAAAATGACTGTTCTGTCTGCACAACTCCGGTTTCAGCTTGCTTGCCATACCCAGAAGAACTTGATTGATCCCCTGGAACACGAAGTTTATGTTCTGCAAAAAGCTTTTCAAGCTCATTTGCCTTCATTTTCAACTCATCGTTCACCCCACAGTATCCCTTTGACTGTCCTGTCCTCTGAACTTGATCCATAGATGTCATAGGAATCCTATCCATGTTTTCTTGGCCTACCCGCCTGTCATTCCCATCATTACCATCATCCCTTCCACCAGATGATTTTTGTCTCTGTTCAGAATCTGCAGGATGGGAAGAAACATTAGTCCACTGCATGCATATTAACGATATCTCTCCCAAGTAAAAGAAAAAAAAAACTTTGTTTTTTTTTCCATTCTTGAGCGCACTACATAGATCTAGCAGTCTTCTACTTCCATTTTTTCTCGGGAATTAAACTATAACTCCTTTAGATGCAAAATTAGAAGCCACCAGTTTTGAGTATTTGACAGCTTAGCTTATAATAATTTGAAGGTCAGGAAGACAAAAAACTCTGTTTGGCAACGTTCTATCAAACTGACCTGCAGAGGTTGGTTTCTGAGATACTGCTCTCTGGGAATCTGTTGTGTCTGATTGCTTGTTTGATGAAACTACTTCTTTCTTCCCCTGTCTGCCAGTAAAAGATCTTCTCTGGGGCTGAGAAGACACATTCTCATCAGTGTCGTGACATTGAACATCCTTGACTTTAAATTCCACACCACCTTTGACATGAGCATCAGAAGAGTGATTTGAATCAATGTCTGATTCAGACGGCGAGCCAGAAGTCACTTGAATTCCAGAACCCATTTTGTTCTCTACCTCTGCTGTGGAACTCTTCATTCTGAGATTAGATGCTCCTTGGTAACCAACATTCTCAGAAACACTCTTTGGCTCACTTTTGATAGAAAAAACATCATTGCCCGAACCCTTTTCTTGCTTTTTATCCTTTTCGTTAGATTCTTTGGGCTCTAAATCCCCTTTGGCATGAGGAACAGATAATGGAGTACACAAAGGACTTTCTGTGCTAGTGTCCAACTTCTTATCTGAGGCAAGATCTATGCTCAAGTCACTAACAATACTCCATCTTCTCAATACAGACTTCTCAGAAGTCGTAGGAGCTGATGAAACATCTGAGGAGAGCCTCCTCAGTTCGGTGGATTTACCAGGAGGCACTGGTTTTCCTCCAGAATTTGAGTTCTCTTTCTGTTTGCTCTCAAAAAGATTGATCCTATCCTGTACACTGAGCCGCCTGGTGTGGCCAGGCCGAACTGTAGAAGATTCTTCAGCGGAACTCCCATCCTTTTTCTCGTCTTTAACCGTTTTGGTACTCTTAGGACACTCTTGTGTTTGTTGTTCTGATTGCTCTACTGGGTTTTGTTTCTGGGTCATGTCAGCTTGTTCAAGACTAGGATGGTGTCTATTCTCTTCAGGCAGATTAGACCTACCGGCCTTTTGAATACCATCGGGGTCATCACTAGGTTCATTGACTGACATATCTGGTGTCCGCAATGACTGGCTTGTTTGAGCATTGACATTTAAGTTCCGCAAGTCAATCAGGTACGGCCTTCTCTGCCAGAGTGAGACAAATTTGCTGCACGCTTCACTGATAAAGCATCCGATCAAATGTGAAGATAATGTTACTATACTATACAGTAGCCAGATAAGAGGTCTCTAAACAAAAGGAAAGAAACGATAGTAGAGCTGCTTACTCCAAGCGATGTGCACCAAATCTATCAGCAAGAAGTTGGAGTTTAAAAACACTGTCAGGGTTGAAACCACTAGCTGATGCATTAGAGATTGCCATGGTTAAATCCTTCTTAACTGCATCAAGTCTTAGGTCTATAGCCCTTAAGAGCTCCTTCCTGCATATAAAGAAGAAACCAGTCATTCGAACTTCCTACACAGATAAGCTTATGTCCAAGAAATACACAAAGAATGATAGGATGTGTAAAAGACTCAAGAGGGTGATTGCTGGTCATTCGTAGCTTACTTAAGCCTATTTTGGCAATGGATAACGCAATGCAATTAATAAGGTCAAGCAGGAGGATACTCTTCTTAAAAAAAAAAAAATCAGAAAAACATGAATCTAAACGAGGATACCAAAAAGTTAAAAATTGAAACAAATTGAAAGCATAGAGTCTTACTTTGTGGCATCTGCCATGCCTCTTCCATAATCTGGATTGGAAGGAAAAAAGGGTCCAGAGGTGACGGTGTTAGCATATTTTGTAAACAGTACAGCAACTTTTTAAAGTTTTCATCAGATAAAAATTAAGTGAATTGATATATCGAAAAATACCAAAGGAGAATGAAACACATTAAGCACTCCACCCAGTGATCTGGGGCTGGTTATTCCAATTCGTATTCCACTTATCATTCAAAAAATGTGCAATATAAGCATGAATTCCAGTTCAGAGACATGATTAACCACACATGCAGTATTGTAAAGTTTCTAGTAGTTTCGTCAGTCAAAGAATTTATTTGGCTTTTGAATTTATAGCTCAAAACGTTCTAATCCCAATCATTCCTTATCTTTGCTTCTCCAATCAATCAATGTATCTTTGTTTCGACCTTACAAAAATGTGATGCATAGTATGAAACCAAAATACCCACCAGAAAAAGTGCTCTAGAAACATCTCTAACCATGAACATTAAACTAAATCCAAGGTTCGTTCTCTCTATCAGCTCTATAGATGTATGGAAAGAATCACAGGAATATATTCCTAATACCTTTTCGCTCTTCGAAATTGCAAACAAAATGAAAAAGGACAGGAAGAAATACATGCATAGTTACCAAAATAAAGTACCATCAATGAATTTCAAGTCTCAGGCAATTGACAAAATAAAACGAGGATAGATGTCCACCATAAGGGAACAAAAGCAAAAATTAGACACACCTGATCCACCATATTGCCGGTCCTCGTTTCCCTTATCAAAAAACAAAAGGCAAAAGCAAATTCAGTGAAGATAATTCAATATAGAATCAGGATCTATCCTCAAGTTCAACTGTGTCTATCACCTGAGAATATAAATTCCGAGCTGCTTCTAACTGTGACATCTCCAAATCAAATGTACTGACCCTTTCCAAAACTTCTGGATTACAAACAAATTGGACAAATCTGGAAGAGAAAAGGTTGGGCAAAATTATTGTTAAGAGAGAAAAAGCTACAATAAATTTTGAGTAAAATAAAAGCAAATGTTCTTGTTTTTCTGCTGTATCACCTCTCGAGTGTCCCTTTTGTGAACCAAGTCTCACCATCTTTACTTTTTTCCACCTCCAATCTAATAGAGGACTGACCTCCCTGAGCAGCTTGGGCTTCAAGAACTCTCAAATTATTTACAAATGGTTGAATCAATCCCGAAGCAAGCTTCTCTGTTTGTCCGTTACTTGATACAAACAGTTCACAACTGCCAGAAAGGAAACATCGATAAAGCTATTGAGAACATAATAGAAGAAGGATCACTAGAAGAGATCATTCACTAGAGAATAGATACCGACCGTGAATGCTTTGGTGACAACTGGAATACGGCATAATCAAGAATTGTATCTGACCTCATTTTCACTCAGATAGGCTCCTCCTACAAATTGTAAGTACAGCCAAAACTATATACCATAATTCAACTGAACATGGTCTCGAATTCGTGGAAAGGGGCCTGAGGAAACAAGAATTGGAAAGGATGTCCAATGACCCCAAATGCTAGTCGAACTGTAAACAACAAAATCCAATATCAAAAGCCAAGTTGATACATATCTTGAAAGGAAAAGATCAACAAACCGGGCATTTTCATCTAAGTAGCAATCAATCAAACTAGCTCAGTTTTTACACTAAAAGAACAGAGATCAATCAAACCAACTATAGAAAACCGAACAGGAAAACTTTCAACTCCTAAAGACGTCTGTCACCAGAGATAGATCCCAAAAAAAGGAAAAAAAAAAAAGAGCAGCGCCTGAACTATATATCTCCAAAGATGGAAACCCAGGATCCAAACATCTGAACAAGTATCTTCCTAGATCTGACTACAATCGCTAAAACAAAGAAACAAGAATCTTAACTTGGAAGTCCCACGAAAGGAGATATAACCCATTTTCAGATAAATCCGAAAAACCAAGCATCCAGAATCAAAATCTGGATCCGAAGACACTGGATCACTAAAATGCTGCTTTCAAAGAGCAGATGGTTGGGCAAGGAAAAAGAAAACGCACCGAGATCCTCGGGTTCTTTCCTCTTCTTCTTCTTCTTCAGGCCGAAGAACTCACCACTCAACCGATCCGGCATTGAACTGGGAACTTTCCATTTCTGGTTAAAATCCAGAATTTTTTTTTATCTTGATCGAGCTTCTTTCTTCCCAATTTCGGAGCTAGACTTCGAGAGAAAAAGCATAAGAAACCCTAACAGTGTCTGGAAATTTGTCGTTACTGCACTGGTTTTGCTCAAAACGCAATCTTTCTTTTTCCCCCACGCTGAAAGAGCTTTGCTTTCTCTCTCTCTCTCTCTCTCTCTCTCTCTCTCTCTCTCTACATACAAAAATAAACTGTAGAGAGAATGTGTTTTTCTTCTTCAGACAGCCTTTTTTTTCCCGTGGAGTAACAGACTGATGAAGCAAGAAATTCGAAAGACGCAAGAGTCAAAAAGAAGGTTCCACCAATAAATTCTAATTGACCAAAATGACCTTCTGCCGCTACCAAACCGGTTTACCTAACCGGATTAAGCAACCGAAAACCCCATTAAACCCGACCGCAAAACCAATTAAAGTCTTCAGTTTTCCAAGCTCCAATAAACTAATTTCCCTTACATACAGTCCAAAATCAAATCGTGATTTTTCTGTTTAATGCTTCTTACCATATTGGAAATAACTCGGGTCGGTTAGCGTAATTCTCACTGCATACCAAATCCGGTTTAGTCTCTGGGAAGTTGGTTTACTTAGATTGGGGCAATTTGGTAATGTTGTGCAGAACAAGAGATGTGGTGAAGACTCTACTATGTGGACCGATCCATTAACATCACAAATCCGAAATTTTAACGGTTAAATTTTTTTTTAGGACATGAGGGGAAAAAAAGAAATACGTAGAGAGAAAGGGACAGCAACAACGGAAGTACTTCCCGCATATTTTTGTTTCTTATAGAAAAATAAGGAAAATGGAGTTTTCCCTATTTTCTCCAAAATTCTTGTCCTCATAAAAGGAGTGCAGCGCATATTTTCTTATTTATTACATTAGCGAGAGAGCATATTTTGGAGTGTTATATGGAATTAAAATAAATTCATTCATATATAGTTATGATTTAATTTACAAAATATTTGGATATGATTTTTTTGTATAATTAAATTAATCAGACAATAAGAAATAAAATACAAATATTTTTGAAAAATGATATTTTAGTAAATGTCCATCCAAACTAAAATTGAGTAGAATTCAAAAAAAAAAACTAAAAATTTATATAAAATAATTAGATATAATTTAAAGTATATTCCACTGCATTTTTTTTTACTTCTCTTTCTTTGTATATTGTTTTTGTTGCAGTTTTTGGATTACTGTTTGTTTCCAAAGCGAATTTTATGTCTCATTTGAATGCATTATCTTGAAAAAAATTGTTATATCTCAAGAATATAGAATTTCTCATTTACCAAGATTTTTTTATACGTACGTCCACATATTCATATGGAATGGATGGGTAATATTCAAGTCCCGGGTTTTACAAAAGAAATTGAGTTTATCAAATAATTTAAAATTTTTTGTGACCATTAATTTGGCCCTATTATAAATATGCAAACTTTACCAGCAGAATATCCCTTATCGCTCTCTTTGGTGAAAATAAAATAAATGGCCATAAATATAAATATAATGGTATGTATGAATATGAACTATAAAACGACTTATGACAAAATACACGCGCGCGCGCGTCAGATGGTATATATATATATATATATATATATAGCGCACTACATAGATCTAG